GAGCAAGGTTCTCGTCTTTCAGCTTGTTGAATGAAGCAAACGCAATGATGTAGCAGTATCGCTTCCTCATGAGGTCAATCTGCCTCTTATCAGCTCTCTTCACGTCCGGATTCCAATGTGGCGTAGCACGTCCTTTGAATGTCTCCATGTGACGCATTGTTACGACGCCGGCATCTACAACATCGACACCTTCAGTCCACGTCAGATCAACGAATTCTGGGATCGATAGTGCGACTGCTTTTGAAGATTTCGACCTACTCGGGTGTCCCATGTATTGTGCGAGTGATTGCCGCTGCAACGAATACGCATATTGTCATGTAACACGAAGATGTGAAAAATGAAATAAAGAAACAACAAAAGGACAACCAAAAAAAAAAAAAAGACATCACATGACAAAGAAAATAAGTAACTTTCTACACGTGAATATAGCCATTACCAAAATACTAGCATGGGACGAAACGGATTTCTTGATGGATGCATCTTTACAAAAGCCGGCGCTATCCAAGATATACAACTTCTGGTTGCCCGGGGAAATGCAAATTAGCCCACTAAAACCACCAGAGTGCACGGGAAACACGTACTGTAATTCAAACAAAGGACAGATGGTTATAATGTAAACACCTCATTATAATCAAGATCTAAAGTGCAATAATTCGAGATACCAATGCAACTTTCTTCCAGTTATGTCCACACATTCGACCAATGTCTGAATCTAGCCTCTCCACAAACTTCTTGTAATTTATGTCCTTCTTTCTCTTTCCCTTAAAAAATAGCTGATATTCACAAAATTTTGTCGTAAGTATTACTGAAACAACGAAGTAGATCAAATGTCATAAGTATGCTTTCAATACATCATACATATATCACATTGTACCTCATTACACGGACGAGTGGTTGCAAAGAAACATGCTACTGAGCCACGACTCCCGAGATTTTCATTGCTGTTCATTATACGAGCCCACAGATCAATAAGTGCCTCGGGGATTGGCGTGTTCGGTGCCAAGCAGGCTACCACATCCCTCTTCACCGCATAATCAAGGGACAGGGACTGATATATAATCACATCGATGTGTATAAAAATAATATCAACACAACATAAAACATAATAAATAATTACAATGGATAATAAAGTTGATTACATAAAAAGAATAACACAATGACACAACATATATCTTACTCGTTATCTTTTTGCAAAACCCAGTTAACGACCGCCTTTTCCTGGCTGTCGAGATTCCTGACCACGTCAATATACCTTTGCTGGAAAGGTGATTTAACTAAGCTGGAAAACTTGGGACTCCTTTTTGGTCTACCAGCATCAACAATAGGATTATCAGCAATCACATCACCACTGACACCTAGTCAACACATACGAAGCACTTTAATACAAACAAAACGAACAATATAAAAAATATTGAATATATACAATGTATACCGTTTATACCTTGCACGCAATCAGGAACTGTATCAGCAACCGGTTCGTTAACCACCCCATCGCGATCAGCTTGAAAAGAAAATAGAAAGAGTAAAAAGGTAAAAAATGGATGTCATCAAACACATGTATACAACAACAATCAGATGAGATAGTTATAAACGTGA